GATTGAAGACAGGGAGAATTGTTCTTATTATTGTCGGCCCAATGGTTTCCACGGTTTTCTTTGGCACCTCGTTTTGAAGTAACCTGATTTCCGTTGATCTGTATATTCGCATATTTCTGGGATTGCTTGTAGTCACTTCTGAGGATAGCCAAGAGACCGTTCGATCTGAATTATTTTTGTTTTGGTTTATAGTGCCTATTCATTGTATTCAGATTTTGCTGGTTTTATCCAGGACTAGTCACGATCATGCTGTTAATGGGCCTTTGGCAACAATCTTCTTTGAGTCCAACCTTTCGCACTGTTTGCATTAACACTGCTTGAAATGACATTGTTGTGGAAGATGCTAACCTCAATAACGTTGGCAAATTGAGGGTTTCTTTTCGAGAGTTGGGTTCGACTGTGCTACAATGTGTGAGGGTGTGGAATTAATGCAGATATTTTATACATCAAATGTGAGGGCATGGTTTCTAAATCAATGGTAACCGAAAAACTTGGAGGTTTGCCATCTTACCTCCCCCCCTGACCGTGTCTTGCAGCTCTACACTGGGCTTTCCTTTATAAGTTAGTGCAGAAGAATTATCGCTATTAACTAAGATTTCGTTTGAAGTTCAGGTTTGAGAATAAGACATGTTCCGTGAATAAAATTATGACAAGATTAGTTTGCAACGCCTACAAATTCAAATAAGTCCCTATCTTGATTGTTTTCGATTTTGTGGCAGTAAAATCGGGTTTTGAATATGCAGAAGTTCTATGAATTGCACACTTTCACAGCAGTTAAGTTCACCAAATCCCTTAATCAACGTTCATTTTCGATGGGAACCAGCTTCTTTATGTGGCAAAGAACTCCTGTTTCTCTCTCTCTCTCTCTCTCTCCCTCTTTTCAGACAAGATTAACCGTCAACGCCTATTTGTACTTGTGTTTGTACCACGATTCCAAGAATTTACCTTCTTATGCTTCATGAATCCACTCATGATCATTTTTATTGGCACCTTCAGCAGTTGCTAAATGTGTAATTCCCAATGATGCAGTAGGTTTGGTATACCACGATCAATCCACAATGGACTTAGATGTGATAGAACTCGCATTTTTAGAACTTTTAAATTTATCTGTATAATAGCTCTTTGTTTGGTAATATGCTGTGAAAAATGCACGGATTGTTGCAAAGCATTTGACTTGGACATTGTTGAAGATAGCATTGGATTTAAGTAATGTTATCAACCATTTGCTATAATCTAATTAACTTGTCTTTGTTGACTAATAAATCCAATCATATGAAAATACTTATTCTACCTATCACATTCACCGTTTATTTCATTTAACTAAAGAGGCCTTGAAAAGTGTTGTAGAAAAATTTGAGAACTCCATCAAGGAAGAGGGAGGGTGGGGTGAGAAAGTGGTTGTTAACTCCAAAATTTTATGAGTTTAATAGTCTGAATTTTACGGATAGGTTTTGTGAGAGGGGGTGGGGTGGGGTGGGAGGAGTTTTCTAGTTTACTTGAGGTGGGAAATTGACTGCGTTTGAATACATTACACAGAGCCCCGTGTCTTACTTGTCTTGATAGTGTTGATTAGTTTGTTGCATTTTTCTACATGAAAATGTTGTAATTGTTTTATGATTATCAAGTTATGATCTGTATATAAGTAGTATAATAATATGGTCTCATCATGTCTTTTAAATTCAGCTTTCTTTTACTTCCCTCAACTCTAACCATAGATCTGCGACTTTACGAAAGTCTCTTAATATCCACGTGTGTGTTTCAGCTGCCCCCTTTACAAGCAGTCTTCTTTATCAGGCTCGTAATGAATTCGATGTTAACCTTGTGGGGCTTCTAATTGCCCTGGTCTTTCCTAAAACTTAAAACAACCGTAAATCGGACATTGGAAGTTCATTTTGACCTTTCAGCTCGTGGAATGCCTTCAATTCTCGCAACCATAAGTGTATATATTTGACAGCTTTGAACTTCACCATCATTTTTCCTCGTTGTATGTTTGGGTGGTGCTCTACTCTATGACTTTTTACGCAAACTCCCGGTTTAGTTCGCCCTGAAATATAACACCCAAAAGGGGATTTAAGGCAAGAGAACTAATATTTATTAATTTATTTATTTATTTCAAATGGCAGGCTTTGTGATATTTATCATTAGCCCTTAAACTTTGACTTCAGCTTCCCCCAAGGGTGGGGGGGGGGGTATATTTATAGCAGTTAATTGATAGCAATTCATTAGCTGTCTTCTTGCTTCCCAATATCTCTGGCTTTCCGTCCTTGTCCTTAGAGCTGGACACCGAATCAGGTGGGTCTTCTCCATTTCCTCCTGTAGGTTACATAGAGGGCGTGTGGGTTGAGTGTTACTCCCAATCTGTGAAGGTGTTTTGCTAAGCAATCGTGTTTGGTACGTAGTCTAAACTCAGCAACGGCTTCGATTCTTGGCCAGTCGGGTATGTTGGAGAGTGCCACTGTCCACTGTTTCTCCTTTGATCGAGCTTTAAGTTCGTTGCACCTTGAGGTCTGGAATTCTCTTCTGAGAGAACTAATATTGACATTTCAAATTTCCAAGGCGAAAGTCGAGCCGCAAAAGTTAGCATTTGAATCATATTTTCAATCTTATTTCCTGAAATCTTTGATTTTGCGTGTTAGAAAATGGTCTTTTTTAATCCTTTTTTGCGCGCATCCATAATAGTTGCATTCAAAACAGCTGTATGCTGGACCTTTCCTGATTGGCCAATAACTGGGAGCACTCTTGAGTATATAAATTGTTTGGAGATTACTTTTCCTTCTTGTCATTCTTTCACCCCTTAAATTTTGGGGAAATTTTTTTGTTGCAAAGAGGAACACTCCTTCTACTATCTTGCTTTCTTCTCCCTCTCTCTCTTTCTCCCTTTTGTTTTCCACTTCTTCATAGTTGGTTTTTGAGTCCATGTTTATTCGCAGTTCCTTTTTTGTCTCTCTTTCCCACCTCCTGGTGACAATATTTTTTCTGTGTTCACTTAAAGCACGCAATAAAACGTCTTCTTAATTTTTATAGTAGTTCACGTTAAAAGTTGGTCTTATTCTTTGGCACTTTTACACTGCACTGTAACCGCAATTTTGACGTTAGTTTCGGCTTTCTGCAACTCTTTAGAATTCATGTTAAATTTCCTGAAAGAATTCGTCCTTTATTTTATGCGGTCGTATCTTCCCCCTTATTTAATTTCACTATATTGTTTGGCACAAGCTTGAGCTTTAAGTCCCGGTTGGTTAAAGTGGAGTTGGCCGAGTATAGCGCCCAGCTAAGGTTGAGTAACCCCCCTCCCCCCCCCCCCCCCCCCCCACCTACCAAAGGCTTCTTTTGCGTTATGCTTGGTTAGGCTTGACAAAAATACTGCGTGTTTTCCAGTGGCTAAGTGCTCATTATTCGCTGTTCATTGAAGTTTGTCCAAGGAATTTCCCAATTACTATTTAAAAGAAAACAGCTTCCATTACCTTTCCTTGGTTAAAGGTATACTTTAGGAGAACTAGTTTTAAGCCTGCAATCTTCGTATATCATGTGCTGTTCACATCTAATCAAGGTTTCAATGGTATCTTCGTTAGTGGCACAGTGTTACCATTTAGACAAAAATATTTATATAATACGTGTTGGCTAGCTAGTCTTCACGCTCATAAACAATGTACATTGCAAGTCTTAACAATAAAATAAACAGTCTCATCATGCTCTCCTTTATGAAATTTTCATTGTACTTTACATTTTACTGACTCAGTAATCATCTGCCTTTATTCCTCTTCTCAGTGCTAAGTTAGCACACGTCAGTCTGAATTTTTTAGTGTTTAGCCTTCTTACTTCACCGTTAGGGTAATAAATAATAAAATATCGACTGAATTTTTCCATTAGACCTCAAATTCGATTTGAATCTGCATAATCTACTTATATTAATAAGTACGATGCCAGTAATTGGCTCCATAAGTGTCTGAACACGGAATCTTTCACAAATTGGTGACAAATTGTTAACGCGGTGACGGCCGCATGAAATGTTTCTGGAGAAGGTGGTAATCTTACCAAATAAAAGCATTCCCCATTTATAATGCTTCTTAATTAATTAATGAAATCGTTTAACGATAATCGATGTACTTCTGTCCCTGATATATTTTTAAATTACCTGTTCCTACTCACTGTAAGACCATCTATACATGGAGATACGTATGATTATTTCATATATCTCTGGAGTTTGCGATAGTTCTTGAAAAATTAGGTTTTAATCTTCCTCTCAAATTCTAGAATGTGGTGGAATTTCCTCATTACACTTGTGTTTTGATTTTAACAGTTAAATTAAATCACTTATTTAGCGGATACCCTCCAGTAGTTATTTTCTTATCACAATGAGATCCTCAATTCCCCAAGCCTATTTCAGTCGCATTACATAAATGCCTTTATCTGGAATTAGTCTGAACCTTACTTTGCTCAATCTAGACCCCCGTTGTTCCTATTTCAGATTCTAAAACCTGCGGACAAAAAGAAATTTCACTTTGCTTACCTTCCATCGAGCTGGAGTGCATCTTGGGCATCGCGAACAAAAGAAAAACCAGTAGAATAGATTTTCTTCCCATCCTCCTCCTTTATTCCATTCACATTCGACTTGCAACTACCCACGGATTTGTGCAACCCTTCCTTAAACTCGTAGAGGATATTTCTTGTCACTCCCTGCAAACACGTCCCTATCTCTCTTGCTTTGTACAGAACTGGAAGAGAACCAATAGACTGAATCTTTCAATTATACATTGTCTCTGTATAGTGCATTCCCTCGCATATATCCTTTTCCTCCCATCCCAAGCTTCACACAACCACACAGGCATCTGTGATAATATCAGGGTACCCACACACACACACACACACAAACATGTAATCGCAACGCCCTCTTATGTCACAAGAGTAATAAACTGTTGCTACTAAGTTGTCTGAGTTTGTATGTAATAACAAAAATTTGTTTTCTCTCACTCTCTATATCGAATATAAGCAACTGATTGTGATTATTTTATTTCCCTGATAATTGTACACCAAGATCCACAGGAGAGTGATAGCTCCGAGTTTGGGGTAAATGGAAGGGGTATTCGATTGATTTTATCGGAGGAAGCTAAGTGTGGATATCGCCCAGGCATCTTTTGGGGTTCCATTTCGAAACCTAACTGTCCAAAGCCATTCCAACCGAAGGAAAATAGGTCATTCTCTTCCGATAAGCAGACAGTATGTCGACTTCCACAAGCAATCTAAGTACAGCTATCGTTGAAGTAAGCTTTTATTTACCGCAGAAATTGATACACCATCTGGAAAGTCCACTGGAGTTGGTAAAGCGGAGAGATTAATACCTGAATCCACGGGAATGGTAGGGTCGTTCATGCTTCTGGATCTTTCCAGATTTATAGACACACATCCCAACTGTCCAAACTCATTCGAACCCCATGTGTAAACGTCTCCAGTATCTAAACGGTAATCAATTTATCGAAACTAATTACGTACCGGTTAGACAAGCGCAATGCCAATAGCCACAGGCAATTGCTACGACGGTCAAAGGTTGGAGGGCTTCGATAATTGTAGGCTCAGACCGGGATTCCAGATCACCATGACCTAGTTGACCACGACTAGGGAATATTCACAAACTTTTGCAACGCACCTGCCAATCCCTTTACTGAAAACACAACCCGAAGGGGTTAGAAAAAGAGCGAAGCCAGGACCACAGGAAACACTCTTAACTTTTACAGACAGCGGCTGTGATGGCTCGACAAATATTGGGAAGTTTTGAAGAGAGTAAACAGAAGCAAATCCATCCACTATTAGGGAAATAATGGGAGCGAATAAGACGTACTAGAGACACAGTAGAGTTCATCGTCATTAACAGAGAATGAACGAATATTTTCAATTCCAGTAGAATAGAGAAGTTTATTTGGCTTATTAAAAACACTAACGACGCCTTCTGTTGATAAAATGAACAAATATTTTGCATTTGAGCAAAAATTTTGTGCCTGGCAGGGTATTTCAACACTAGTTCCCTCACAGAATACATAATTTAAATTGTCTAAAAGATAAACTACTCAAAATATATACCTTTTGCATACACAGAGCAATGCCAATCAGAATAAAGCACATTATTACAGCCAAATTCGACGTTATTGTCAACCACCCGTCCGAAAACATGCACCATCTCAAAACAGCTGTAATTACAATCACGTGATGGAAAGTGAGTTGAAACCAGGCTAAGCCAATAACAAATTCGATTAATATGAAGGTTTCGGCATCAAGTCGTCCAATCAAGTATGTTGGTAATTAATGCACATATTTTGCATTTGGTTAAAAAATACTGATGTGTTTCAATCGTACTATAATAATAATATTATTTCAATTCTTGAATTTGTTTTTGAAATTAATCGATTTTTCTATTAAACACTTGATTGTCATGGCATGAAAACGAGACCAGAGAGAAGGAATAAGGCTGTAAGATGCGGTCAAAAGTCACCTCAAGAAGCTGATGACTCAGACTGATATCTGGGAGTTCTTTAGGTCTGTTCGAATGCATCTGAACTGATTGTGATGGAATGGTGCTATAGTCACCAGAACTAGAGTCATCTCCTGTTCTTAGCTTACTCATTAAAATTCGTTGTCTGCTAATTTTTTCTATAATATTTTTGGTCAATAAGCAAAATCTCAATATTTCGTCTCACAAAAATAATTCATTAAGGTTATTTTAAATAGCGGGCTTTAAGCTAAGATTATTTCCATTATCTTACGTAAGAGTCATTTCCTTATAACTTACCTTGTCGTTTCAAATACGATGTTATTTGCACTAAAATTTCACTGATTTACTCTACATTTTGCACTATCACATATATTTTGAAGCTCCTTTTAATAGGGACTAAATCATTATATTTATAAATGCCAAAAGTTCATTTTTATAGTAACTCTTGTATAACTTTCCCAAACATTTTTTAGGCTATTAAAAATCGTGGCTCAACTTTATTACCTCGCATCCGTCTTTGCTGACTTGTCAACATTCATTAATTATTAGAATTATTGCTTTCTAGTATCATTCTTAAAACTCGATTTTCCATTTTAATTTTTATTCAATTTGTTTCGTTGTTCATCAGAAGCAAAAGATAAATTTGTAGAAAATAATTATATGCAATGCTATAATAACGAGTATACTTACAAGGTAGCTACTCGAGTTCACCATATCATAGACGTCAACTAGCACGTTTCCGACCCAATTCGTCTGATGGTACTCAAAAAAAGACAGAAGACTCTCAACAGTCTATCTTACTTTATCTCGCAGCTCGAATTACCCATGGTCGGCACTAAAGTATTTTCCACATTTCAGATTCCACTTTCTTCCAACGCACGGTCATGCTTTAGTCTAAGTTTGAGAACTTGAGAATAGTCCCCGCTTGAAAATTTCCCGAATTTTGATGGGATTTAAAAGTCCGATATGTTGTCAATTCTATTTAGTTCCCTTAGAAGGATTGCATCTAATGGTGTCAATACTTTCAAATTTGAGTAATTTTAAAATTATACATATAAAATAATGCAAAATTATAATTCTTTTCTCTTTTTATTCTAACAGTTATGATAAAAAATATACTACCAACAGTTAAGTGAAAACGATGAGTTTGGTTATACATTAAACTAGTAATAACAACGAAGACAAAATAAAGAAGGTATCATTAAAGAATAAAGAACTTTCATCTTTGATGGTTTATTAAGTCATTAGACCAAAATGAACCACAATCATTGATAACACTTTAATTTTGTGAAATACAAACATGCTAAGCAGAAACAGCGTACATAATCGTAACAATGGGATGAACGAGGCTAATTTTCAATTTCTGTAAGTGTACGAATGACGTCTTCTAACTTTGATGCCAGCGCAATTTTTCTGCTTTCCCAAGTCGATTGAAATTCCATGACATCCTCGTGAATCGTTAATAATTCGGAGAGCAACTTTTGCTCAGTATCAAATTTGGACCTGAACGTTACTATAAAAGCTATTTGATTACCTTGCCTCTTTGATCACACATGTTAGAGCTTCATTGATTGATAAAATAATTTCTAATGCAAGTTTATGCTCAAATCATTTCTTACTCTCGGGATCCGTTTCAGAACCTGAACCATCTTCGTATTCGTTGTCATCATTAGTAATCCTTCTTTCCGTTAAATCTATATGTATAATACATACATTTTACAGGTACCACTACACATTCAGATCGAGTCACGAATTCTCCTGAGGATATTTAAATTAGTGTCTTAAAAATTCAATTAATAAAAACACGCTAAAATGCACACTGAAAAAATTTGATTATCAGTGAACTGTATGCGCAAGTTAATTATTATATTATAATTTTTATAAATATGATATAGGAAAAATGTAGAAGATCAATTTGCTCAAAGTATTTACTAAGTTTACACTCAAATATTAAAACTGATGTCAATTTTAAATAAATGAAATAAAGATAAAATAAAAAATGAATTGTTTTTACCTCTCAATACCATATTTAATCTTTTTTAACAAAATCTATTTCTGCAACTTTAATTTATCCACGTATTAAGTAATGAAGGTTAGTCGATCGCACACCCCAGAACTTCTACTTTATTGTAGCGAAAACAGAAAGATGGAAATTTCTAAAACCTCCCAGTTCCCTTATATATAACGAAAGATATCTTAAACCTCTTTCTGTAGGCATTGTGTAGAAGAAAGTTGATTAGGGTTGGATGTTACATCAGTCTAGACTTTTTATGAATTCCTTTGGAATATGTAAAACAAACGGTGAAAAATTTCACTAGGTTATGTTAGTAAATGTTTGTCGGTGAATATTTGAAATAATAAACAGAAATACTATGCCCTACAGTCGCCTGAGTCTCTCTCATTTTAGTGTGATGGACTTGTGAATTGATAACAATTCTGGATATCAGCATACACTATCTAAATCTATTAAAATTATAATGACTTGATTACCAGTTCAATCAGGTATAGTTAAAACAGTAGTGCACAATGATTCTTAGATCTCTCAGGTCTTCAGTGCACAATTACTGGCTTAAATTTCTGCTCTAACTGCTAATTACCCGAGTATTGTATTTCATTTCGCCAGTTACTCGCAATTTTAGTTGTTATTTTCCAAAATTATCCTTCCCACGAGAATAATCTATTCCAAATCTAATATACTTTCAATTCTACATAACGTGTGGACGAGAAAGAGTCTCGTGGAAGTATCTTACCATTTAATTTTGCTAATGTGATTGCTGCGACTTTGGAATTTTATAATTTAAATTTTGTGCGAAAGTAACAGTAGATAACTAGAAGAGGCATTTAATTTTTTACGAAATACAAATTAATGTATTACACAGGCAGATCGAGACAGCTATTATTACATGGTTACCAGCAGGTATCAATATATCGGGTAAATGAAATTATTTTAGGCTCTCTAAGGAAGCAAAGGTGTAATAAATACAATTACGAAAAAAATTTGCAAATGTGATCCATAGCGTATTAAGTTCAATTTATATACCAACTCAAATAGGCTCAATAGTTTGATGATCCATATGATCTTTCAAAAGAATTGTCTCATGCAAGCAACAACTATGGAAATAATGAATAAGGAATAATCTAGCTCAGTGGATTCCCTAGAAATTCTCTTAGTCAAAATTAAGCGAAGTAAACTTTGCCTTTGGGTCAGTATGAACTTTCTAACCGAGTACCTTACCTATTGTCTATCTTGAATTACTGAACTACAAGGACATTGAACAGGAAAACTAGCATCTAGTCATGTCTAGGAAAAATTGATCAGAACATCAAGGGAGTCTTTCGTTTGACAGGTCCACCAGCGACGCCAGTTATCTTTTCTACTGTTCCAATTCCCCAGCTTAAGAAAATATAGTGAAAAACGGTTTAATGTAAAGCTGTTAGATATATTCGAATATTTGGAAGAATAAAAAACGACAGTCTTACATTATTGACGGGATCAGTATTCCCAGAATGCAGTGATGAGTTAATAATTAGGGTATTTAATTTCAGATTATTTTGGGTTCGGACTAATCTGAACTTTTAATGACAATAATGTGCGAAGGAAAACCTTGGAGTTTTATTTTCCAAATTATTTTTTTGTCTACAGAATGCGCGGGTATGGGGGGGAGGAAGGCACTAGGTTCATTTAAGAATAAACTTTTATATTCACCAGAAAGGAATATCACGAGTTGGCTAGGGAATAATCTGTCTTTGAATATTCCCTGAAGTTATGGTTAGTGGTTTTAATCCAATAGATTTATAATTCTTGTATGACCTTCGTCAAATGGATTGCCCAAGATACAACTAATATTTAGGATATAAATTTGCCCTATTCAAAATTTTATCACTTATCTTATAACTATAAAGAGCATAAAGTTTAAAATAACATAGACAATTGCAATTATTTAAATTTAATGATTACCTTCAGATAGCCGCAATGTACGAGTTGCCCATTCAACGTGAAGGGAACTGATTTCAAATATAGGGTGTCTGGTTTGTGCGCTTAGGTATTCTCCCAATTTAGATTTATCCATAATCGTTTCTGTCATTTCTTACGTTTTTGATTTATTAATCTTAAATTTTGTTTCTTTTTTCATGAACTTTATTTTAAAACATTGAAACATTTTCTCATATTTTGCTTTACGTGGATTTTTATATAATGTTGTTCTGACGAAACCTGAATTTAGTACTTTGCCAATCTCCAAATAATATATTCATCATTGATCCTCTGCCTATGTAACCGTGGCAATAGTTTACTATAATAAATGTATGATAATAAGTATGTATTTGTTTTTATTTTCTGCTTAGTTCCTAATACAACTTTTCATAATTATAGCTAAAAGATGCCTTCACAAGGTGAAACAGTCTTTTCGAACATGGAGGAAATAAAGCCCTCTACTTCATCCAAGGGAAAGTCATCTCAACTCGAACTCAGTCCGTCTAGTCCCCTTATCGATAATTTTCGCCAATCCACAATTGCTTTTAAGATACAGCGTTCTTCTAAAAGTGATACTAAGTCTACCTCTGTCACAGACAACGAAAATATTCCTTTGGTTTGTATTGCTTATTTTGCGTATAAAGCTTTGATTGGTATTGGTATCTCCCAGCATTAAAATAAGCATTTCAGCCCTTTCTTTCATTTAAAATCTTTATAAATATTTAAATGCTACCTTAATGTTACTTTGTATTTTAACGGGTTTCTATCTCATTTTTCACTCCTTCGCCGCGTGCTTGTCAGTTTTTTAAGATCCAGTCACTTCAAAATCAAAACGCTTTGCTTAATATACTCGGAGATTTTATGCCTTTTCCTGAATTCAGTCATTTTTCAATGTTCGTAGGATGGGCCCGTGCCAATTGAGATTCCTAAAGGGAAGAAAAATGGAACATTACCTCCTCTAAAACAAACCCTTCTTCTGGAAAAATCCCAGACTGATTTAAATGTACAGGTACCTTCCAAACCAACAAAGAAATCAGCTAGATCTACCAGGTCAGTTGTTATTAGGAGAACACATTTTCTCTTGTTATTCAAAGTTTTCCTATCCCCGAAATTCCTCTTATCTGTGAAATAGAAAACGTCTAAAAGCATCAAAAATGTAAGTTTCTGCTTGTTGTTGGCTGTTTTCTAGTTTGGTAAATTCTGTTAGCGCTTTGATTGCAAGTGTTATGATTGCTTAGTAGGTTCAATCCGAAAAGAATTCCATCTACACCTTTTATTGATTTTGTACATGCTTTCTCATTTTCCATTTCCTTCGTTTATTGAAAAGTTGGAATATGAGATTTCGATTGATTTCCATAAGCCACACGATTCGTCGTCATTTTTATATGGTACTGTTTAATTTGGTACTATTTTATTTTCGCCTTTCAAACGCTTCCATTCACACCCCATCGATGTGCCATATAGTAGTTGATGTTTGTTAGTTTGGTTTGGTTCGAGTGATGTTGAGATTACTTGTATTTGTACTACCCGTCGAGTTTTCTTTATGTAATCGTGTAGTCGTCTGATTCATCAGCAATTCTGTTGCTTCCAAGATGTTTCTGAGATTGGTCTTCAGCACAGTAAAAGAAAGAATTAACTTTGCCAACTGAATCTCCGCATCACTAGGACATTTACCCATTGCCTTTTGCCTAGTTATATGCTCTCGATGTTTGGTAGTTAGAATGAAAGTTTTGTTGGCAGATGTGTTTGTGTCTAGATCTACTTTCATGAGTTTTCTCAGAAATGCCAACATCTTTACGCATTGATGTACTAACTTTAAATCAAATGTTATTTTTGACTTCAGAACCAGAAGACCAACTGCACGTCGTAGTGTTAGTGCAGCTGCGAGTACTTCCGCTGCAAGTATTGGTCCCACGTCGGAAATAAGTCAAAGTCGAGCTCAACAAGCCTGCTCCGTTAGTCCCATTAAACAGCAGCGTCATGCGCAGTCATCGTCCAAACGCCTTCAACAGACCCAACTCTCTGACTATGGTATCAGACGCACTGCTCGACAATTTGCCAATGATCTAAAGGTTTGTGCTTGAGGTGTCTTTAAGTGGGGGGGGGGGGGGGAGTTCGTCAATATTTCGCTATACGCCCTCTTTTTTTGCCTTTTTTTCTAGCAAAAGAAAGAAGCCGAGATAGTGGCAGCCATTCTTAAAGGCGAGGAAACTGGCATGAAGGTATTTGCATTATCACTTTTAATTTATTTTTTTGTTTTGTTATCTTTGAAAATAGGGATTTATATTCTTGTGTACATTTTTGAACGAGTTAAAACGTATTTTTTAGAGCATGTTTTTTTCTCTTTGTGTCTTAAGAATTTTTGCCTCCTTTTTAAATGTTGCTCCTTAATGGGATTTCACCAGAGAGTGGTTAAATCTTGACTTTAAATTAAACTTGATTTTTGGCTTACTGTATTTTCAATTACTCTGCGCATTTGTTGTTGTATGATGCACTTTTTCCATCGGACGAACTCTTCTTCTCCATACCCTTTAGTGGATTTTGTAATATCTTTGATTCGCTTGTCTCGGAGAATATCATTTGAATATCACACATTTTCACCATTTAGTTGGTTTTCTATTTCTTGTTAAGATGTTTCGTTGATTGAAATTATAAAGCCATATCATGTCAAAAATACTTTTATACTTTGGAAGTAACTCAAATAGAGAAGGGTTTGTAAGCATGTTGTCAATGAGGTACCAAGGAAAAAAAGAAGGGAATAGAAAGGAGGAGGAGGAGGGGGGGGGGTTGGTGATTTCGGAGTGCGTAATATTCTCTTACAGCTTCACTTTCCAAAATTTCAATTTCATAGTTCTTCCCCTTTGTTTACCGTTTTGCATTCTGATTCACAATCCCCAGTCCTTATTGGTTGGTTGTTTACCTCCTATTATCGGTCCCACCACTCAAATTCATTTCTTTTTTTAAAAGCATGAAATGTAGGATGATTCCTAATCCTATTTTTCCTTTTAATAGGTAATTGAGACTGAAGACAAAGGCCGTGGAGTAATCACCACGAGGCTATTCACTGAGGGGGAATTCGTTGTGGAATATATTGGAGAACTCATTTCTGAACGCGAAGCCCGGGCTCGTGAAGTTGAGTACAAAAAGGATCCCAACATTGGCTCATTCATGTTCTTCTTTGCTCATGGGTCGGTTGCTTTATCCGAGCGCGTTCTCTTGAATTCTGTCTCCCAAGTGCATTAATGGAGACTTCCTTAGATCATTAAGATATGTTTCCACGGGACTTGACTTAGATAGGGAGAAAATATTCTAAAACCAGTGTTTCAAGAAATCAACCATCGCCACCACGCGTTGATTAGGGCGGATAGTCACTCACAGCATTGGATGTGTGCCAATGAGCATTAAGATCTCGATCTCTACCTCAATAGACATGCACTTGACCACTACGTGTTTGCGTGTTGCATCCCACGGTCTCGTTTTGGAAACTCGGATTTTCCTATTCCCCTCTGTCCTCTTTTAAGCATTGCCGATGGTCATACCATCCACTGCGTATGCTCCAATGAGTTTTGATCTTGTGTTCTTATTAGAGGCTTGGTTGCCCACTTGTATCGCCTGTGTACAGTTGAAAGTTGTGGAGAGCAAGTGTGGGGTTCGTTAAAACTCCTACTTGGTTCATCCCATAAAGAACAATCTCTGACTTTTATTATTAAATGTGCATTTATTGATGTCTCGTACAACTTGGATACACACGGCTGCTACTGCATCGTTCCACATCGCGCCCAACTCTGCTTTCATTATATTCTTTTAGAGGCCAGCGATACTGCGTCGACGCCACAAAGGAAACTGACAAGCTTGGTCGTTTGATCAATCACAGTCGGCAGCATCCAAATTGTATTGTCAAGGTGATACCAATCGATGGAGTCCCGCGCCTATCTCTTTTTGCTAAAATGGATGTACCTCCAGGTAAGTTGATTAGATTGGAAATGCTTGTCCTGTTATCAAACTTGAGTGGTTGATGGCCCTCTTCTCCTCCTCCCGAATGTTTCCCTTGGGCATAAGTAGAGCTCTTTCATTTTAGGTGAAGAATTGCTCTACGATTATGGAGACCATAGCAAAGAGAGTTTGCTAGCCCATCCCTGGCTCAAAATGTAAATTGCACTTCTACTGTCATTATTTTGTGTGTACTTACAATCGTCATGGTGGGGTATTTGCGTTTATACGTATTTATATGTGCATGCGTGTGTAAATTTTCAGAGACTTATGAATCGGCTTCTTTTATTTTCCTAAAATGTTATTGGTGTTAACTGTAAGTATTGGTGTCTTTGTCCCTTTCATTTTTCTCGGAAAATAAACAAGCGTTTGAGTGAACAGCACAACGGTCTTGCCTCTTATTTGCACTTTTATTCTTACTTGCTATTTTTAAGTAGCATCTGAAAAGTGTGCCCAGAAGTCGTCAAGGAGAGGACGAGGTGTTTGATGTATTCAAATGGTGGTTTTTCAACTAGGGCAATTAAGTTGTCTAGGCCAATTCCAAATGATATTTCATGAGGAACGCCATTGTTCTTTTGAACATGATGATATTTACCTGGGAATTGCTTAGCATATTTAAGGGAGCTGTAAAGAATGTCAATGGGTGAAAAGTCGCCCTCCCTCCAAACAGCGATGTGAGAATTCACCTCCTTGCTCATAATCTACGAAATCAATACTTTGAGGCATTGAGCTGACCTATGAACTTCAACTCCCGAATCTTCAAAATCAACTTGGTTCCAACTTCAGACAATGTTTTATTATGAACATAGTTAAATGAGACTAATTAAATGACAATGGAATGGTTGTGAAGGTAGTCCCTTTCAAACCGTGTACCATAGAGGGTGTCGCAGTAATCTCAGTATTGGATTGACAAACCACGCCGATCGAACAAATTTACTGCTTGTTTAAAACAGCACGTGTCAAACAATGTTCAACATTACATAAAAGCTTGCGGGGAAGTGGGTTTTCAGCCCAAAACACGAAATGGAACTGATAATCATATTTGGTTTGATTGGTCTGTTATGCTCTGAATTAGCACAAAACCCTCACGTCTATGGCCATGGAAACGAGAATGAGAAGAGCTATGACAATTATGGGGGAGTGAGGTTATGATAACAATGCTTTCATAGAATACCCAGTTTTCATGAAGTGAATAATGCCATGGTGATCATAGACCCACCCACCCTCAAGCCCCTCATTCTCACTAGTCAAAATTTCAAGGACCTCGATTGACTAGGACAAATAATAGTACCTAAACCGCAGACAATACGAGAAACATTACCAACAACCTCCACAGTGGGTGCATCACACATATCCACACCGATACCCCCCTCCCTATAATTACTACACTCCTGGTTACTGTCCGCATCAGTTACAACAACTATGCGTCGACCTTCAGAGGATCGAGGAAGCCTTCACTACTTTTCCACGGACTCACTCAGAGCTTGTTGGCACTGAATACTTACGATTTTCTGACTCCATCTGGTACGTTATCTCTCAGCACATAAATTTCCGAGTTCTCCTTATGAATACGAGCACTACGCTCCCAAGTTTGTCTTCAAGTGTGTACTTTATATGTTCTAAAGATCCTGGCTTCATTGTATATTACATAAACGCAATGAATAATCACCTCATTGCCAGATATTAGAGCATTCTTAGCTAAACTCGATGGAGAAACTCTCGTAGTTATTCTCTTTAAATTGTCCGAACTAAAAGAATTATCTCCAACTACCCAACCGCCTCCACCTCCAAGCACGTCGACGAAATTGACAACCACTGCAGGACTTTTTACAGAGCCGGAAGTTAGAGAATTTCTGCTTGCAAAGGAGGAAGGTTGAAACGATCGGAGCTATCACCTCTAATACGGACGAATTGTTCTCCCATCTACCAACGAAGAGACAAATTGCACTCATCACTCGCCTTCCTAATATGGCCATGACTAACTCCAATTTGGACTCTGATGATCTCAAAATTCTCAACGCCAATTCCGTTGTGGTTGTCAATCGATTGATTAACCTTACTACCGAGTGTCGTGCCAAAATATTGATCTATACAACTGAAGGTAGTACCTTGTGTAAGATGTTTAGTTAAGTGTATTCCGTCCCCTAATATTTTTGTGAAATAAATTCTCTTCACTACGCTGTCAATAGATTGGAATGATTTTTTTGCACCAAAGGAAGAGATTAAATTACCATATATCATGAAAGCTTTGGCTGAAGTCTGTTATGCCGAATCGGGGATAAAGTGGAATAGCGGTCACCAGAATGATTGAGAATAGAGTGCTATGTTCAGGGAGATAAACTGATTGAAGCTCTAATACAAAAAATCTCTTTCTAATTAGATTCTTATTATTATAATTTTGTCAGAATTCATGAAAGTTGTAGGACATGGAGCATTTGGGTTCCAGAAACACGCATCAATAAGCAAACTTGGATCAGACATTTGTTATGTGGGGGTGTGCGATAGACTTACCTCCACGTGGTGCACTCTGGACAACACATACTCATACGGGATAAAAGTCCATTAACCGACAGTTGATTTCTGACTTCAAACTACCATGACCCCACTGTGTCATATTCGACCACTTCCGTAGTACTCAGCTTACCTTGTCTGCCACTTTTACATCGTTGAAACACTCTTTTGTTCCCTTCATCGACTTTTTGTGACTTTAATGCTCCCACTCCTCTCTGTGAAGCTCGAAGTCTACTAATGAGCTCATGATAATTACCAAAACACCTACCATTGGCAATAAATAAACATTTGTTATATAATTAGAATCGGCACCTCACAAATGGTGCTATATGCACTGACGTAGGAGGAATCGAAGATTTGAGGTATCGGTCTTTAAGGCTTACTTCAACTTCAAACCTTCAAGCACCGAGTGCATTACTACTCAACAAAGTGTTCTTTCGATATCATTGAACTTGCATTGTTTACCAAGATACCAACTTGACCGGATTTAAGGTATTCGATG